TTGCAAATTTTATGGTGAAGAAAAATTACTAAAGATATATATCTTCTTTAGTATTTGTCTATATAGTGTAAAGACGGAACGAACAATCCGGCAACAAGCTATCGACAACAAGCTATCCTTGTTATCAATCAATCAGTTTAAAAACAGATACAAAACGCGTTATATAAAACTTATATTTCCAAATCTAGACAAACTATCTGATCACCATCTAGATTATGCATCTATATGAACACAGCTCGTGTATATGGACGGATGATAAGTTGTGCGCGTCTTTATGCATATATAACCACACGGATAACAAATGCTTGCATCGTAAATTCGTCGGATTCAAAGATCGACGCCGACGACGGATAAAGCGCCTAGTCTGGCATATTAGCACAACACGCATTAAAATTAACATTAACACTTTATTATATCATACCTGATGAGTTCGAAAGGGAAGCACCAACTATTCACAAAAACTACTATTCCCCGTATACAGAAACGAAACCAAACGTCTGTGGTCTGCAGAGCAAAGTGAAGTTTGAACCTGATTGCGTGTCAATACAAACTGTGACACTATTCGGTGAGGCACTCGGGTGTCATGTGTCATTCGCTAAAATCACGCTTCGTAAACTGGTGAGTCATAGACCTCATTCATAAATCGTGATCGAGGCCTCGCGTATCCTAGGATACGGGAAGAAACGCGGGAAAATTGACAAAATGTTCTTCTTCTGTCGGCTATGGCAGCTTTTTCGTGAATATTACGGCTTTTTTCGAAAGTAATATCTATAAAACTGAGCTTGAAAGTTGAAAAAAATACTTCTGAGAAAATATAACATGATATTTAAAGCAAAAGATTCTCGAGTCAATCGAAAAAAGAAACCTTTGACTTTGTATTATTGTCGTAGTTTGTATGGCCAAAACAAACAATCAACAAAGCTAGAAAACTTCTATACAACACCAAAATCGTAAGAGATATGAAATTATTGTTGAAGGAATAAGATTACAACTCACTCAGGTAATGTAGCCTTCATTTTATATCAATAACATTTGACGTTCTCTAGTGATTTTTGACCTGTTGTATTCTCTCGTATTAATGTCAAATTTGAAAAATTATACTTTCATTCCATAGTTGTGCTGATTTTTACACGGAATAACCTTTATATTGACGTTAAAATCTCAGTAAAATACTGTTTTTCGCTTCTGGACAAACACTGTCGCTACGTTGTCATATTTTTCCACACAAAAACGGGAGAAGACCCGGTCGGTTTTATAATATACTCGTTTACCGCTTTCGTTGTGGGCACAAAGTCTTAAAATACAAACAAAAATCGTTATAAATCGCAAAAAGCAACAAGAAACAAGCGGTTGTAGTCGGATATTATAGCATCTGAATTTGGCTTGTCAAAGCAGTTTAATTTCGCTTGTTTTCCCGCGTTTTTTCCCATATCCCAGAATTTAACAAAAACCCTCAGAGTTTGTCAGACAGTGTGATAATATGAATGTATTTGTAATCAGCGTATTCGCGGCATTGTTAATTAGTGCCTCGCGGCATTGTTGCTTAATGACGAAAACAAGTATTGAGATGCAAATTTTATAAAAGTTTAGGGTTGAATGGAATGCAACACTTTGTTAAGGGTATGTTAAGGCAAAAATAATTTGAAATATAATTTCATTTTCCTTTTTTATTTGTATGAGCAGTTAAGAGTCAGAGAAGATAGCAATTTTAAGGAGCAAAATACTTGTGAAGGCTTCATTCGCTTCTCAGTTCTCGCACATTCCAATCCAAAATCATAGAAATAAACCCATGTACCAAACAAAAATTATAAATCATAAACTTTGACGGAATTCTCCAATCTAAAAATTTAAGATTTGATGGTCTAAAAATTTTAGTACGGTTTTTAGAATAAATCAGATGAGATTTATGACGATTTAAAACGCTTTCAGTACAATATTCAAAATACGATACGTTGCAATGATAAAATACGCGAGAGGTCCAAATTCGCGAGGGGAGTCCAAATCCGCTAGTGAATAACAATAACTTACTGACCGAGAATGCGGGCCGTATGGGAAAATATCCAACCGAGCTCTTGCTGTATTGACCGAGCGATAGCGAGGTCAATACAGGAAGACCGAGGTTGGATATTTCCCCGTACTGCCCGAACGGTTGAGGTCAGTAAGTTTTTTATTATATGGCACTGTACGTTTGTAAAAAATGGAAGAAAAGGTCACGCGGAAAAGTACAAAGTCCGAAACATTTGCAAAACAAAACCAATTGTAAAAAATGTTCTCTTGGTTAGTAAAACTACTTTACAGTACTTTTTATATAGAATACTAACACACTTTGGATAGTATTTCAAGAAAAATACGAGGTATTTCGTCATTTAATCAAAGACAACAAATATGAAAACAAAACAATTATACGAAAACAAATACGTTTTTACATGTAGACATACAAAATAATTGGCGGCCCATCGAAACTGCCCAAAGATTTCCCATGCATGGCCCATCCCAAATCACTCCGGCCCACCCTATAGCATGCAGTTACTATATGACCGGTCCCTTATTAATCTCGAGGCTGTTGCAAACAAATGAATTTCGCGAAGACAAGTTTTCCCGCGCTTTTATAATTTTGAACAAAACTGGTAAAAAACTATATTAATTAATGTCCCAAGTTCTTTTCATTATGGCTTTATAACGCCGCGAAACGGGATTTACAACTCTGAAGGAGTGGAGAGCCTCAGACTTTGTTTATCAACGCGAGCTCGTTTTGCTACTTTCATACAAAATCAACTCAAAATATACAAGAATTATTGTTACTAGACGAATATTCTCACGAAATTTGAAGAAATAAAGCAGCTACATTATGAAGAAAGCGTACAGAGGTTATAGACTTTGTTTATCAACACGAGCTTGCGTTTGCTATTTTCATACAAAATCAACTGAAAATATACAAGAATTATTGTTTATAAACTGGACGAGTATTCTCAGGAAACTTGAAGAAATGAAGCAGCTACATTGTGAACAAAAGTGTACTGAGGTTAGTTTTAAAATACCTTGAGGCTACTTTTATAAGTATACGAATTTAATAAGAAACAGTTTTGAATGTCAATTTTGTCAAAAGCATTCCTAGGCGACTTGTCGAGAAGTTTTATATGTTTTAAAGTAGGAAGACAAGTGACAATGAAATATTTTTAATCCAAATTATAAACAACGTCTCAATATGTTATTTTAATTCATATAATTATGGAAGTATAGCCTCAAGGTATTTTATAACTAACCTCTGTACGCTTTCGTTCACAATGTAGCTGCTTCATTTCTTCAAATTTCATGATAATATTCGTCCAGTAACAGTAATTCTTGTATATTTTGAGTTGATTTTGTATGAAAGTAGCAAAACGAGCTCGCGTTGATAAACAAAGTCTGAGGCTCTCCACTCCTTCAGAGTTGTAAATCCCGTTTCGCGGCGTTATAAAGCCATAATACTCCGAATTTTTTGCTTCTATCGTGTGATTATAAAATTGGCCTGAAAATTGACGCGAAAATCTACCGTCTGTAATACAAATCTATATACTAGAAAATACATGCATGCAGAAAACCTCGCCTTGCTAACAAAACCATTGTATTTTCCGAACATGAAGTATCTAAAGTTGTTGTCATGGTAACAGGATAACTTTTTAAGAATATTCTTACAAATGAAAAGAAAAATCACCTAAAAATATCTTTTTTAATTAATTACAAAATTATCAGTTTCCCGACATATATATGTTAGGGTATGTTATTATACGTAATATAAGCTTCAATTTAAGGTAAAATTCAACCACAAACGCTTCGCAAAACGTTTTAAATTAAAGTGTTCTTTATAAAACTAAACTGCCTTTAATAATTGAATGGCTTTATCGATAAACTTTGAGTTTGCAATAAAATTATTTCAAATTCTCGCATGCAAATAACTTTGCTTTTTTTTATTTAAAAAATTCAATATAATAAAAAAGGGAATCAATATTAATAATACACTGAAATTATATGCTGTCTTGTTTAGTTGTTTCATATACGTCGAGATATATGAAAAATAATTTAAAACAAACTTACCTTCGTTAACGTCGATTCTTTCGCACTTTCTTTCTGAGAAAGCTTTTGAAATTTACAAAATCTTGCAAAAATGCGAGCAAAAATGAAATATATTTGCAAGAAATTTATCAATCATCAAATCAAGTAATGTTTGCTATTTCGCTCTCGTCATGCAGTCGTTATAATCCAAACTTTAAATTGGACCAATCAGTGCCCGCTATTCATGACAGTCCGCCATATTTTTGAGATCAGTGAGGATGACCACTCACCGAACCACTCACTGTATTAAACCCACGTCCGCGCTCATTGATGAACTTTAGACTTGGCTAATGCTTTCGTTTCCCCGGGTGTAAATAGCCGGGTGAATTAGTACCCTCGCACGGCGCTTCCCGCCGTCGACTCGGGGACAAAAGCCCCACAAAGAAAGCGGCCGCGATAAATTTGGTCAGCGACGACAAATTTCCCACCTGTTGACACAGTTACCATCTAGCGTGAACATGGCTTCCACAATAGTGAAATATAAAACATGGAACATTGATTGGTTTTGATTGGTTTGGCAAAACAAATCGCTGCGAGAAAGATGTATCAGTTTTCTCTGGTCAAAAGAATCCATCCTGTACCATGAAGGTGGGTTAATTTCATTTTTTGTTTATATTATTGCTTTTATTCTCCAGTATCTGTTGCGAAATCTCCGATCTCGCACATCAATAGTTTTTGTGAAGTGGAAACACCTCATGAATTCTTTCTGGCGCCATATTTTGTTACTCGCCGCTTGCAAACTGTGTCTCTCGGAATATTCTCATTTTTATGTTCGGAAATTCTCTAAGAACCGAAGTATTATACAGATTCAATAAAAGCAGACTCGAGGGAACCGATGGGTGATATTTTTAATCGAAATTTGAGCGCGCGTCTGAGCAAAGATCAAAAGCTGAAAGCCTGAACCATTAACCATGTCTAGGAAATGTGATGTTTGTAACAAGGTATTTTCACACAGAAGCTCTTTGCTAAAACATAAGAGAACACACACTGGAGAGAAACCTTATGAATGTGATGTTTGCAACAAAAGATTTTCACGCTCAAGCCATTTAGCAGGTCATAAGAGAACACACACTGGAGACAAACCTTATGAATGTGATGTTTGCAACAAAAGATTTTCACAATCAAGTCACTTAGCAGGTCATAAGAGAACACACACTGGAGACAAACCTTATGAATGTGATGTTTGCAACAAAAGATTTTCATACTCAAACCACTTAGCAGATCATAAGAGAACACACACTGGAGATAAACCTTATGAATGTGATGTTTGCAACAAACGATTTTCATACTCAAACCACTTAGCAGATCATAAGAGAACACACACTGGAGACAAACCTTATGAATGCGATGTTTGCAACAACAGATTTTTACGACCAAGGGAATTGGTGGTTCATAAGAGAACACACACTGGAGAGAAACCTTATGAATGTGGTGTTTGCAACACAAGATTTTTACGATCAGACGTGTTAGCAGTTCATGAAAGAACACACTCTGGAGACAAACCTTATGAATGCGATGTTTGCAACAAAAGATTTTCACGGTCAAGCCACTTAGCAGTTCATAAGAGGACACACACTGGAGAGAAACCTTATGAATGTGATGTTTGCAACAGGAGATTTTTGCGGTCAAGCCACTTAGCACGTCATAAGAGAACACACACTGGAGAGAAAGCTTATGAATGTGAATTTTGCAACAAAAGATTTTCTGACCCAAGCACTCTAACTAAACATAAAAGAACACACACTGAAGAGAAACCTTATGAATGTGATATTTGTAAGAAGAGATTTTCATGCTCAAGCTACTTAACTAGGCATAAAAGAACACACACTGGAGACAAACCTTACCAATGTGACGTTTGCAACAAGAGATTTTTAGAATCACACAATTTAACACGACATAAAGTATCAGCACACAAGAGAAATGAGATCTTTGAGTGTAGTATCTGCAAGAAAACATTCACAAAACGAGAAAGTCTCAAATGTCACTGGAGATCACATTTGAGAGATGGCTTATTATTGTGCCACACCTGTGGCAAAGAAATTATTCAAGGTGAAAGACATGCTAATGAGATACAGAGTGATGATCATTTTGACTGTGACAAATGCAACAAACAGTTCCCTGATATTGAAAGTTTGTATCAGCACAAGACCAAAGACCATGGTATGTCCCACCAATGTGATGTCTGTAAGGAATTAGAAGCAGGAGAAGCAACTGGTATTGGTTATATCTGTTGTGTCTGCGATGCCGAGTTTGAAATTGCCACTGAACTTGAAGATCATATGAGTATGCATGACAATGTGCTGCCCCACTAGCTAGGCAACATAAGTTGAAGATATTTTGGGCAATGTGCTGTTTTGAAATTTCTCTTAAAATTGATTTGGGATTGGTTTTGACTTGTTTTGAGATTGTTTTAAAACTTTTGAAATCCAGTATAAACTGTTTGATACTGAAAATAATATTGATATTATCGTGGTGACTGATTTGTTGATTAGGAATGCATTTATCAACTGAGATTATTTTGTAATTATCTGTTGTTTTTGGTTGGAAATTTATTACGTTTGGATTATTTATAGTGTAAACAAATGTTGTTAAAGTATTATTACATTTTGATGGTGATACTACTTCATTTTATCATGGCAATATTATATTTTCTGAATTTACTGGATTCACCCTATTAAGCCATCACGAAATCAGGCCCCCTCTCTAATAACTCCACCTTTTTTTAGATGAATAATTTTATTAAATCCCCCCTCTGTTTATAAAAAAACCCCAGAAATCTTCAGCTAAGATTTATTAATTTTCTGCACACAAATTTTATTTATACAGGGATGCTGGAATTGGGAGTGCGGAAGGAGGGGCAGCCGCCCCTGTTGCCCTTTACCAGGAGGGGCAAGGGGGGCAAAGGTGCCCTTTCAATTTAAGGGATTGCCTTGGCGAAATAGCGAATTGTCAGAAACTGTACATGTCAGTGCATTTACTCCAATTGGCGAATTGTCAGTGCAATTCTTTTACGTATTTGCTTCAGAAAACGCAAGAAATGCAGCCATCGAACTTCAAGAATAGCAAAACCGCCTGGCGGAGAATTTTTTCCCACCCCTATTATCCAATAAATAGAAAACATGATTAGGCGAAGTTCAACTCCCGATGTTTGACATGTTTAATTTGCAAGCATCACTTAGAAAATATCAATTCAAAAGTGCCCATTCACGAAAATCTGCCCAATAAGCTCCATATCTGCCTTCCTCGAAGGTGCCTCAAAAAGTAGGCCCCTTGTAGGAGGTTTATTACTCGCTGGGGCACTCTGTGCCCCAGACGAGTATACTGTTTCGGCTTGCATTTTTCTTGGATAGTGGATCGTCGATAGCCACAAAATAGAATATTAATGAGCTGTTTGATCCTTTTCAAAATGGCGGGGCCTTTCGTGGAGTGGGCAAAATATTTCACTATTTTGGGCCCCATTTCGTGAAAATTTTGAACAAATCAGTGTACCTGTTTTCTATGGAGTTTGCATTGTCAAACTCTGGACATTTTTGCTAGTTTATTTAATGCGTTTTTCTTGGTGCACGACTCTGAAAATCCGAAAGTTGGATCGTTGAATTCCTGTGCACGATCAATATATACTGAATCCGAATAATTATAACTGACGAGCCAAAGACAATTTCAGGGTAAAAGGTTATAACTTAAACTGCACAACGTAGTTTTAATAAATAACTACTTTATGAGAAGCATATTGGTGTCATATCAATATAAAACGGTCGAACAACAGTCCGTGAAAACTGTAGTGTACTCAGTGTGAAATATGATATTGTATTTGTAATTCCTATTTATGGCGCAATAAGGATAAAGATACCACCGTTCGATTCAGCGTAAGGGATTGTACTTACGGTTGTCAAATGTGTTACTAAACACCAGTATTCTAGCGATTTATGGCCTTTGAAAATCAAGCGAAATTGTATTGTTAGATATTCAGACAGTACATCATATTTTAAAAAATACAGCAGTTCAAAATGTAAACAAACCGTTTGTTTGCATTGCGGACTTGACTTCCACTTTAATATACGCACGTATAACTTTAAATCTGTTTAAATGTTACTTATAAAATAACCAAATAAATAAAGCAACAGAATTTACTGCTCCGCAAGTTTTAGTATGAATTTATTAACTTATTTGTAAAATATTTAAAAATAGAAAGATTCAAAGTTTTACGTGCGTGTACGTGCGTACGAAAAACGCAATAGTGGAAATCAGCCTTTAGATCTTAACAGTAATGTGCGTCAGTTGTACAGCCCCAGCAAGTTAACGCTCCACAGAGCGTCTTGTTACAGAGATTACGGTAGATTTATTCTTATATGGATGTTGAGTTTTCAAAATGGATTAACTTAGAGACCGTTCATTAATTATACGTCAGGGTGGGCTGGAGGAAAAAGAGCAGAAACGGTGCAAGTTTTCCATGACCCACCCCATTAGGGTGTTAATTTTTTCATGACCCCCCTTCTAACCGATAATTTTTTTCACAGCCCTCCTATTTATTTTCACCAAGTCGTACAAGTTTTTCCCAAAAATGTTGTCGACCGGGGGGGGGGGTGGAGGTAAAAATTTTTCCGGACTAACATAAGCATATTCAAAATTTCTCCACCAACATAAGCAACGCTTCCAATTTCTTCATCACAAACATAACAAAACCTTTAAAACTGTTAAAATTGCAAACCATTTCATCAAATGGTTTTGGTTGTGAAGGCTTAATATTTCGAACTGGTCAACCTAAAATATTAATAATTTCCACAAATAATTTTGGCAACCCCCCTTTCATGCTGTAAACACTTTAAAAGCCCCCCCCTTCTAACCATGAATTGTTTTGGCAACCCCCCCTAAGTTTCCTCCAGCCCCCCTGGTCCTTAATTAATGAACGGTCCCTTACGAGAAATCTCGCTTCGCAAAGCAATGGGGAATGGGAAAGAATTTTCTCACACGCGGAAAAAAAGGATTCGTCCAATCAAATGATACAAGGATGAAAATACATGTATGAGTAAATTTGTTCTTGGCGGGAAATTTCCCGCCTGGCATTCGTGACGACTTTGTTTATTTTGCTTCAGGGTGAACACTTTATTTTGTCGCGTATAAATATTGAGACTGTCAGAAGATTAGCAGAGAAATAATGAAAAGGAGGATGTAACAGGTGAGTGGTTATAATTCTGTATATGAGAGTTAATTTTGAACGGTCTCAGTGTAGATTATTAGTGGCAATATATATAGCAAAACTTGGTTGATAGGAATGGAAGTGCGTGGAAAATACAAGGGAAATTCGACGTTTCGAGGGAAGGCCCTTTGTCTGCGAGTTAGTAAAGGCAAACTTCTCGACGAAGAACTAACTTCCCAACGAAAGAAGTTCGCTCGAAACTTCGAATTTCTCCCTGTATTTTTCAAGTACATCACTATCGGCCATTTTGTTATATCACAGTTAATAGTCTATTAACTGTGGTTATATATGAGAATTACTGAGGTAAAAAACAGTGATGCGCATATGACGAGTTTACATGAAGTATTGTAGTGGGGAGAGATGGGCGAAGGGGCTGATGGGAAGGCAGCTATTCGCGTGAGCACAGAATAGATAATAGGACCAGAAGTCTTACTCAAGCGGAAACATGTCCCATCTTTTACACTGCGCATGCGCGAGCTAAACAAGTGTAATGCAGTGTTGACAATAGAAAATTATATTGGGAAGTTGTCATTTCTACAGTAAAAACAGCTTTTTTTTCAAGTAGTACGAATTGTGACTTCGATTTATCTGTGG